ACGGATGTTTGCATAAAAAATTATCAAATTATCGTTCACCTGTGTATGATGTTACATATTTCCTACAACCGTGAAGATCCCATGCTTGTCATAAAAGGCAACTTTGCTTGTCTTAAGAGGCGATTAACGGGATCGGGTGGTCAGGCTCGCTGACTTGGTTGATGCATGTCACCGTATCCCAATTGCTTGGATCGATGCTCATGATGTCAGTCACAGGATTGTCTCGGGTATTTAGAGTTGTGATGTTGTAGCCGCTGTTGAAATAAAGAGGCGTGAGGGTTCCTTAATACCTTCACAGATTTGATTTTATTAATACTCTGTATACATTATTTTGGAGAGTATATCTTGACTTGTGAGTGAGTGAGTGAGTTGGGTTTAACGCCGCTTTTAACAGTATTCCAATTATATCGCGGCGTGTCAGCTTAATGTTGGAGGAAAGCCCGAAGTGATGCAGGTCTCAGACGTTTACCACTTCGGTGAAACCCACGAGCGCGGGTATGGTGCTGACAAACCTAGAAACATAATCGGGGCGAACTGGGATTCGAACCCACAATCACAGGTTTCTGGCGTGCCTAAGGGACGCAACTCTGCACAGTGAATCGCGGCGCCTAAGACGACTGGGCCACCCGTGCCCCCTTACATACATATACAAGGGATTTATTTATAGTTGTGTTTATACGATAGATGCGTGTATACGATAGATGTGTTTATACGATAGATTAATGAGTTTATACAGTCGATGAGTTTGTGCACAGTAGATTAAATTAAATATCCCATGCATACCCCCCCCCCATTAAGGAGTCTAATTCATCTCAGTCATACTGTACAAAATCCAGTGACTAGGTCAATATACATATTGCCTTATTATCGACATTGACTATAACATTTATACACTACTGGAAACAGGTCAACCATGATATTGGAAGTCAGTGTGTGGCAATACCATCCAGCCATGACAGATTCACTATAGCTGTAGGAAAAGAAATTACCGTATTTCCTCTCATAGAAGCCGGGCCTCTAATAGACGCCGGGTCGATCAATTGATACAATTAATGATCCCTTTTGGGGACCTAAATTACATGAGGACTCCCTTTCTCGTGACGATTCGGGACATTCGTGGTCATAGTGAAATGGGGGTATTACTAGAGGCCGGGCCTCCAATAGACGCCGGGTCAAAGGCTTGTCCGAAATAAATAGAAGTCCGGGCGTCTAATAGAGGAAATACGGTATTCGGTGTTCTTTAACTTCTTTTGAGTAGTTAGTTAGTTAGTTAGTTAGTTAGTGTGTGTGTGTGGTGTGTGTGTGTGTGTGTGTGTGTGTGTGTGTGCGTGCATGGATCTCGTTTCCTGTTCGGAATCGGACATCCAGCTTCCCTCATCCTGTGCACGTATCTCCTTACAAGTTCAGATATGAGAACTGGGGCGAGGGATGTCGGGTTACGGTCTCGTATTTCGCGAGGTGGTGGTGAGTGCCATGGCGTGTTTGTCCGGGCAGACATGCGCCTGTCGGGTCGGGAATCGCGGTCCATTCACGCTTAGCGTACTGTGGAATGCCGCGAATGGTAATGTGAGGAGGGCCTCGCGCCACTCCCGTTCTTTCCGCGTTGTTTACACCGTCAACGGGGACTACGCAAACGTGTCGACTGCATGCGACGAGACACTGCTTGCACGACAATCCTTTGAACAAGTTGTATAAAAAATGAATCGCGGACGCAGCTTTTTGAAAAGGAGGGGTGTTGTTTAAAAATTGTGATCACAAAATTATAAACATGTGCTGGGAACATGCATTGCAAATATAATTGGTGTAGCAACTTGGTTTCGACGTGGCAAATGTTTTGTATTATAATGCTTTACAAAGTGTGTGTGTGATGTGTGAGGTGGGGTGTTTAGAGAGTGTGTGTGGTGGTGGGGGCGTCTATGAAAAAACACTATAAATAACCCCCCACCCCCCCACCCCCACTTCTATTCTATTCCTCACACAACAAAATAAATCTAAGTACTTTCCCTGTTTAAACGCTTGGTATACTTGTTATAATGATAGTCAATCCCTAATACTCAATAAATTACATATAGCAGAATTTGCGTTTTAACCTTTTTATAGATTCTTTTATTTTGTGAAGCTGAATTCAAAATAAAGTTATATTGTGAAAATGGCATTATTTCCAAAGCAAATAGGTTATGTAAATATGTAACCTTCCTGGTTAAGATCAAATCTGATATTTCGAGTAAATAGCGTATAGTTCTAGTAATTAGTATTTATATGTCCAAGGTGACTAGATGGTTGCTGGGTTCTACCTAATGACCTAATTACGTTATTCAGATAGCACTCCTTTCACGCTCCGGATTCGGACCGTTTACTTGATGGATGCTATTGGGCAATCGATTTCCCATCACAAGATTAGTATGATCGAAATCTATTTTAGTAAACACTCTTGGAATGTATTTCATTCACTTCAAATGTTATCGCAAATTTGTTATTCGGCTTATTGTTGTAAAGTTGGTCAAAATAGAACCAACAAATCCCCGGTTGCCTTGTTGATTCCCAAACATTTCCAATTTGCAATTAATAGCGTGTGCTTACGTTTTTGGCACAGTGCCAAAATGCGTAATGTGTGTATTTGGCGGGAAACGTTGGTGAATACATGGCTTAGACAGTAAGAAAGGCTAATCCTAATAAACATATATGGAAATATATTACGGTATCTGTCATATGACTAAATCTGTGATCAGTGTTCAGTGCGTGGAAACGTGCCAGTGTATACGTGGAACGAGTCAGCCCCGTTATAACGAATGTTTTGTTTACCTCCCGTCTCAGTGCTCGCATGCGCAGACTGCAGACTGAATCGACAACAGTAATGGCTGCAAGCACAAAGCACAACTTGTACCCAAATGTCCAGAATACTAACGGAGAACTAGACAACTCGAACGACAGTAATGATTCTAGAAATGAGGCTCAAGTTGATTTGTTGGTAAGTGTTACGTTTGACGTAGAAATTGCTCCAGGAGGAGCAAAACATGGCGAGAACATGTCGAGCACATGGCATTCACGTTCAATGGCTTGGGGTATTTCATCATCTCGTAAGGACACGACCGTGTTTACTAACAATACTGACGAGCGGCGTATTTGCAATAGCTGTTCGTGATTTTTCGCAGTAGTAGCCACTATTTTCAACAAGATATGGATGCCAATATAGTGAAATAGTGTTTATCCGTTTCATAGATGTAGTTTATCATTGATTTATGTTATGTTTTCGTTTCGTCGAGTGCAGAAAGACTGAAAGGAACACATGTTTGAGGCATGACTTAGTCGTCTGCGCCCCAGTGTCTGTCGGACGGTGCTATCCATATTTAGCCGCATGCGCTCTAGGAGTGGGTTTTAGATAAATTAAGAAATTGGAACAAATATTTCGTTGTGCGACTGAAATTGAAATATTTCCTCGAGGATGCAGTACTAAAAGAGTTTACGCGGGTTAAAGCGGCGCCAATATCTTCTGCCGTGTTTGTTTCAGCTGTACGAAAGTCGCATTTCATATTATGGGCGTTTCATTTAGGTCTTGTGTTTTGGGTACAACTACGTATTTTTCTCATCGATGGAGACTATCACTAGTCCTGTAGTCCATACCAAGATGCCCAATGTTTTAACTAAGGTATAAGGACTAATAGATTCTAGAAATTTGCACGTTTTAAAGGTTTTTTTCTGTGTGTTATTATAGAGTAGATCTAGAAATGTTAGTTTCTATCGCTGTTTCTTTGATTGGATTTTAATTAGGTTGTGATTACCAGTGAATCATTTTAACAGGATATTGTGATTCTGAGTAATGTGCAGAGATATCTATTATCCAGCGGAACAGTTGCTTGTTGAGATATTTGGTGGGTGTGGCTACTGATCCTGGCTTATCATGCTTGTTGATCTTCTGTTTTATTCTACCCCTAACTAAAAGGGCAGGTGTAGAATCTATATATACTCTAAAGTTATGCCAAGGAATTCTGTCCCGAGGACACGTTTTTGTGTGTGACCTAAAACTTAAAAAAACCCTGCAAAGATTCTTTTCTATCTTGAACACTTTCTCTGCTAATATAGGAGAGGTGCTGTAGGCTATCTACCATGCACTGTGAAGTCTGATTTCAGTATTTGGAGTTTCTATAAAACTACAGATATTTTCATTTTTGACTTGTGGGGGGGGGGGGGGGGGGGGGGTTAGCCTAGTGATTAAAGCATTCGCACGTTATGCCGAAGACCCTGGTTCGATTCCCGACATGGGAACAATGTGTGAAGCCCATTTCTGGTGACCCCCGGCGGTGATAATGCTGGAATATTGCTAAAAGCGGCATAAAACCATATTCACTCACTCATTTTTGAATCAGAATATTTTTACTTAAACATTTGTGCGACCTATTACTTGAAAACTACTGCTTGGATTCTTTTCAAATTTAGGGAACAGTTTCCATACTTATAGAAGAGGTGCAGTGCAAAGTTTGATTTTGATATGTAGGTTTCCTGAGAAATTCCTTTGAATTTATACATGTTTTGAACTTAGAATGTTTTCTTTACTTCAACATATCTCCAATATCAAAATCCTTCTTCAGCTGATGTTGGAGTCGTAGTCAGGGGTAGTAGTGAGCCTATCTCACTTTTTGCCTTCTTCATTCATGTTAGACCTTAGGGTTCGTACAGATTTGTTCGTTTGTTGTTTTACGCCGCACTCAGCTATATGACAGCGATCTGTAAATAATCAAATAATGTAAATAATCAAATGTATCGGTATTAAAGGTATTAGATTTATTCACAAAGTGGAACCCATGGTATTCTACAATAAAATGGCCATTTCAGATTCTGGGTCAGAATAGGTCCGGTTTTCCTCATATTTGCTGTGAATACCAACTAAAACAGGGATTCAATGGTCAGCCTTTGTGACTCATGACCAGTTGTTTGTCTGGCCCAGACTTGATTTTTACATACTGCCCTTATATAGCTGTAATATTGCTGACTGAAGCACAAAACAACAATTAATGAAATCAAATAATTGAGCTATTTTAAATACGATAACTTTGCAGTTGATCAATCCCTAAACGAAAAATCCTAATTTTTAATTGTTGATTCTAATTTCAGTGTTAGGAGGATCGGTGCATCGTTTGTAACTCTGTTGTGTGTCACTGGTCGTTTGTGCCAAGTAAGCATGATATGTGATCCCCAACACCTAAAACATTCAAAGTGTAAACAAATAAATGGACCGAACAATTTGTTTTGATAAGAAATATGTCAAGTCATCTTCTAGATCAATCTTGGCGTTCTGCCCAGGGTATATATGTATGCAAAGACTGAAACTGCAGTGCATCTGATAGGAATTGTGTGACTACATTGTAAATAGCCTTCACCTGGACTCGTAATGACGGCAAGTGAGTCAACAGTTGCTCATTGTCATGGAGATAATGTGAGTTCATTAATCTCTTATTTCTTCAATTAATTGGGTGGAAAAGGTAAATACTAAATGTTAAGGGGAACTTACCTACTGCAAATACACAAGATTGAATCATAATTTTTCTTCATTTCTTTTTTCAGATAAGTCCTTCTTTTGTGTTTACTGCTTTCATCATATATTGTTCTTAGACAACTTGCGTAGGGAATTGAGAGAAGGTGGCGTGAATAGTATTCATGATACTTAGGGGTGGTGGGGTAGCCTAGTGGTTAAAGCGTTTGCTTTCTTCATATATTGTTCTTAGACAACTTGTGTAGGGAATTGAGAGAAGGTGGCGTGAATAGTATTCACGATACTTAGGGGTGGTGGGGTAGCCTAGTGGTTAAAGCGTTTGCTTTCTTCATATATTGTTCTTAGACAACTTGCGTAGGGAATTGAGAGAAGGTGGTGTGAATAGTATTCACGATACTTAGGGGTGGTGGGGTAGCCTAGTGGTTAAAGCGTTTGCTTTCTTCATATATTGTTCTTAGACAACTTGTGTAGGGAATTGAGAGATGGTGGTGTGAATAGTATTCATGATACTTAGGGGCGGTGGGGTAGCCTAGTGGTTAAAGCGTTTGCTTTCTTCATATATTGTTCTTAGACAACTTGCGTAGGGAATTGAGAGAAGGTGGTGTGAATAGTATTCATGATACTTAGGGGTGGTGGGGTAGCCTAGTGGTTAAAGTGTTTGCTAGCCATGCCGAAGGCCTGGGTTTGATCCCCTCATGGGTACAATGTGTGATGCCCATTTCTATTGCTTGAATATCGCTAAAAGCGGCGTAAAACATAAGTCACTCACATACGATTAATAAGGTTTTATACATCAACAGAGATAAACCATTCATGGCACATTTATGATTGGCAACCACTGTATTTTATAGTATGTACACCATTTTGTTAACACTGTTGTAAGCTATATACTATGTGGTTGTAGTTGTCAGCTGTTATGAAACCTTATATAAGCGGCCAATTTTAACTAAAGGGAAGTAACTGTGTAAAACAATTCCTTATAATGAAATGGCTGTTTGAATCATCATTCATAGACAAAACTTAATGACATATTTTTCTATGGTCAAAGGACATGTAAATCATATACAACAGGTTAACCATGTATTTTTTCAATGAAGGAAATTTTGGGACTAGCGCGAGTCAGCTTTTTACTGAAAAACGAGTTGCAATGTCCTATGCCAGGTATACACAATGTACCCAAGATCCCAGTCTTTGATATACGATGTACAGTGTTTTCTAATAACCTTCGTTAATGATAAGCTATGATAACAGCATTTAAAAGGTTTATGATCCTACTGACTTGCCTCTGTGGTGTAGTGGATAGAGCCTCTGCCCAGAGAGCACAAGTCAGTGGTTCGATGGCCGGGTCACACCAAAAGAAGTGATTGTTACACTGACTGACACTCAGCAGTGAGAGGACAATGAAAGGACTAGCCAGTTAGGAGTCCGTATACTGTGTCTTGAGCGGGGTATCCATGTTAAACTGCAGCATTGGGTCTCATTTGGCTAGCACAATAAACCAGTTAATGTCCAGACAGGTACAAGCACCTCACACATTAAGTAATCTTGAATGCGAAGTTAAACCCCAATTTCATCTCACCTTAAGATTCTATTTGCCCTCAAATATAGCACAATGGGTTGGGAACTTGGACCAGCAATCAAGTGCTAATTTTATCCCTGTCCAAAGATCAAGGTCCAAACTCTCTAACAATCATTACATTCACAAAAACGGGATATTTTGTTCTTCACTGTGACACAAAGAAAAAAAATCGGATTTCTTATGACATTTCATGCAAGGATGTAACCTATTAGTATTACCAATAAAGTGAGTGAGTGGGTTAGAATTTAACTTCACATCAGCAATATTTCAGCCACATCGTGACGATATTTCCAATAAAAGCTGGGGACAAATAGGCAGTTGTCATGTTTCTTATCTTTCAAAAATTATTTATTCTGTATGTGTGTGGGTTCAAATTACGTACAATTATTCAAGTTAATACTAAGTATGAACCTGGGTGATCCACTAAACATGTAAATGTTTTTGAAAATTGAATTTTCAGACTTCTTTTTGTCCTATAAAAATGGAGAAAATTACCAATAGTTCTGAGCTAAAGTACTGTCGGAAATGCTAGAAAACTGCTTTTTGTCTGTTAAAAAGGTATATACATTTTCACAAACTGTTGTTATTGAAATATAGAAAAACTACCGATCGCCCTACCTGTGGTTAAAGTATTTCAGTCACAAAGAGTCCTATCAACAAGTTTCCAGGAGACGAATTCGAACGAAAACAGGTACAATGATAATAATGTAGTCTTCATAAAACATCTACTCCACACACAAAAATCATTTTTGAGCAAATTCTAGATGTGCATCTTCTAAAATGACAAAATGACCTTTTGTTAACATTGCTCCCATGATGCATGTTACATTACACTTGCATAGCCATAGACCCGTGAAGATTCCGGGGTAGAATAGGTCTTCAGCAATCCATGCTTGTCGTAAAAGGCAAATGTACAGGGTTCGTGGCAAGACATAACTCAACATCCAAAGTACAGATTCATATACGTCATCAGCGGAGATAAATGCTACCTCAAGAAACCATCTGTAGAACAACAAATACTTCTGGATTCAAAACCGCAAACTTCCAATACTCATCCAGTTTCATAGCTCTTAACTAGTCCATCATGTTTCCAAGCAAATATTATGCAGTACATATCCTAAATTGCTACCTCATCAACGCATGTCAATAAAGTACAATAACAGCAATATTTTGAGACCACTCCCAACTCGGTGACATTTGCAACTGGTAGAATGCACGGGACTTTGTGAGGTCATCACCTCGGGACAGGTGTTAGGTAATTACCTCAGGTTATAGGCCATTTCATACATGCATGACAACACACGAATATTTTCTAAGTTTATCATCATTTTACCTATAAAAGTACATTTTAAGGGTAATCACAGTGTCAGTTAGGACAGGCTAGATTAGAGCAATTTGCGTTATTTTGATATATGCTCTTTTTATAGTCCTATGACTCGTATTTATTAAATGAAGCCAGAAAAGTAGGTTTCTAGCATTTCCGACAGTACTTTAGTGTCAATTTCTAACCTTGAATACGTTATCAGTGTTAGAATAACAATACATTGATTATCACTATATGTGATGACATACCTTAACTTTATCATAGTTAAGTTGATGAGCAAAACTGATCAAGACTGAATTAAACCTTGATCAGTGGTGATCATGGTTCAAGTGTAACATTGTAGTCTATAACAGAGCAGAACCTCTGGTAGCTGATTACAATATGTAATTAACCTACATTTAATGTGAAATACCAGCAACAACACATGTAAACCATTTCGCTTAGTTTTGTGTAGGTGGGATTTGTATTGAGTAGCGCCCCACAACGTCAGTGTCGAAAAGATCCATTACGGCTTTGTTAGAAACATGACGTTGGAGGTGTGTGTTTTGGCAGAGGCCTGTATCAAGAAAGGTCACATGCTTCATAGGTTTTGTTTACATCATGTGATGGCGAAGTTCACTGAAATACCAAGAGCTTCTGGCTAGGCCTACTGTATTATTTATACTCTTCCTCTCGTAGCCGTGATCAGTTGTTGCCCACGATTCTATATGTCTATGGATCCGCTGCGTTCGGATAGTTATGCCATTGACCAGTTGTTGACACCTGGAATGAGGTTAGATGGACACTGCACATCACATCAGCACCGTATGCCTGATATAGCTCTTCACACTGCCCAGACTCTGGGAGTTGAGGTAGGAAATAGCATGAACGTTTAAACAGAGAGTGATGCAAGTCTTGCTTCTTGTTGTTTTGATCATATCCACTTTGCGAGATGTGATTTTGCTTGAGAGAAATAGCATCAGGACAATTTCATAATCTTACCAACTTTTAATAGGTCATTCTTCTATATCACTGCAAAATTTGAAAACATTCTTGACATCTTTTTCGATGGCAATCAGTCAATGTCCCAGAAAGTATACATGCTTACAGTTGAAACATGCTTATTGAAGGAGTCAGAATTTGGTGTTACGTAATAAATAAAGATGATCACAGGACCATGCTGACTGGAAGTAACATACAGTCAAGTGTAACTCGTTAATCCGACAATCGGCTTTATCCGACACAAATAATGGGAACCGATTAAATCAGTGCTATTTAGACGAGTTAATCCGACAGTCTTGCACTCCGACTCTGACACACCTAATTTGCAACAAATTGCTGAAATCACTCATTAATCAGTCTTGTTATCACAGACACAGTGATCAGCGTACTCCGTTGTCATCTGCCCGCGAGTACACAGCCCCGTGTTTTGATGCGAGACAAGTCAGCGAGTAGCTGCATATTACAACCTGCAGAGATAAACATGCTTAATAATAAACAATTACTGCTTTAAATAAACAAAACAGGATTATTCACAAGCCTAGATTACCTCAATCTCATTAAAATCTGCTACAGCCGAGGACATCCCATTACGTGTCACATAAGAACGACCTTTCGTAGTAGTTGTAATTATCCAATTTTCGATCACAAACATTCAGACTACCTAATTTCGTTAATCCGCCATGCTCGTTAATCCGACATAATCATATGCAACCGACAATGTTGGATTAACGGGACTTGACTGTAAATGCTTCCATTAATTGTTACCGCTGATAAATTAGCTTACATAATTTCGTAATTGTGCAAGACATCTGTTAACATGCTTAGTATGATAAACACGATATGTAGGGTTTCACCAAATTCATGTAAGTATGCAAAATTAACTGTTGTTGGTAAATGCATGCAGAAATGAATCCAAGTAGGCAAATATTTCCTGCAACAAAAGGAAAACAGCTTAATTGTTTTTCATACTGGATATGCATGATAGTAGTCTGGAGACTAGACAATACGTCGCTATAATAGATATTTTGCTCTCTAGAAAAAGATCGAATGAAATGGAAACCGATATCTAGGCTGTCTCCGGATGTAACAGCCAAGTTTGCGTACAACAGGTGAAAAACTAAAATAACCAGTTTGACTTAACCCTTACACTGCTGAATTATTTGTTAAGTACACCACATCTGATTTTATTTCTTTTGAATTATATCTAGTTATCAACAGAAATTACCAATGTTTTCAATTTTGTGTAGTTGTTGCTTTTGCAACCATACCTGAAAAAAGCCTGTGTTTTTGTCCTGGTGCTCAATAGAGAAATGTGACGGCCTCGTCCTACACCAGGGCGTTGGAAGATGCATATATAATGTTATTAACGATAGGCACAAAACCAGCCTTGATGTTAAAATAGGCAAGTATGGCTATCTAAATTAGCATTAAATTTAATAATAAAATAATAACATAAAAATTATGTTCAATAAAATCTGGGATTCTAAATTTTAATTCTAGAGAAGGTCGACGGACATGATTGAAATGTTAGAGCAAATACATGAAAGTATTAGAAAATACCGGTACGCGTCTATCAGTCAGATAATATCTTTGAACTTCTGTTTTGTTTTGCACTGAGGGAAGAAGGGGTTGGTGGGTTGTTTTGTTGTTTTGTTGGTTTCGTCCGCTTAGAGATGGAACCGTCACATCTGCTATATTACTAAATTGACATGTAAGATTTTGATGTTCTATTTCTGTTCTCAATCTGTCTCTGTGAGGATCAATGTTTGTTTTGGAGATGTGGTTAGTGAAAACTGCCGAGATAGGTTGCAACTGTTTAGTGTTCAACATCCCATCAGGGTTGTTTCTGTTTTCATTTCTGAATAATTTATAGGATTGTGAGATAGATGTCAAAATAGTCATAGCCAGCATATATCTGTACTTCAGGCTTTTTCAAGGACTTACATTATTAGAAATTCTTCTGTTCACTTTAACCCTTTCTACTGATCATGCATTTCAGTGAACACTGTAAAAGGGTTCTTGTCGATAATTGGATCAGTTGGTTAAAGTCTTTAAAATGGTGTGATTGTAATCACTAAATCCACCAACTCTTTTAATTATGATAATTGTGAACATGATTGATGATAAACAATATTGTTGAACTAATGTTTTCAATGCTCTACTGACAGTGGTGTATTTAAATTTTCCTTTCATTACCGGTATGTTAATGATGAAAATTATATTGTGTACAAAACAGGTGGACCTTTCACTGTGGTGTGTAGTTAATATATATGTATTCATAGGTTTTCTGAATATGCTTTGTTGAATTGATTCTTGTGCACAAATCCTTGGTAATAATTGTAACAGCTGGCATTTTTACTAGGATATAGTTGGCAGGCTAATCAGAACAAGACCGCCTCCGTGGTCTAGTGGTAGAGTGCCCACCTGGAGAGCGGAAGGTCCGGGGTTCAATCCCTGTCCGTGTCATACCAAAAAATGTTAAAAGATGGCACTTGTTGTTACCCTGTCTGGCGCTTGGCATTAAGGGGCTAAAACAAGGACTGGTTCGATCGGAGTCTGAGTGGGGGTATTCATGTTAAAACTGTGGCATGGTATCTCAGTGTGCTAGCTCTATAAATCAGCATCAGACATACACACTAACACACATACACACTGTTTCAGTGCAATAACCTTGGACGCAATGTTAAACCCCCATTTCACCTCACCTTGACCATGAACCCTACCAGGTTTGACATACCTCCACCAATAGCTTCTGATAACTTTGGAAGAGTTTGATACTAAACTTGATGTTACTGCTCGACAACTAAGCTGCTGCATGTTTTCAAGTGCACAATCCTGTCGCGTTTAACATATCTAGGTGGTAGGTACACATGTATGTTTCAGCTGTTGCAGTTGTATTTTGAGACAAGCGTTTGTTTTTGTGTGTTGGAATTTTGGTACATTTTAGTCCCTGTGTTTCTTGTAAACATGAGGAAGCTAAGTTGCCAATATTGTTGGGATGGGATGGGATGGGATAGTAGAGAGAAGCTTTGTGATAATGCTGTTCCGGGAATCCTATTTACATGATATATTATAAGATACATGATACATGATACTTAAACTTATGTAATAGCTGAAACAATACAAATAGACATTTTCATCTGATATTTTTGTTTTAAAAAAAAGAGTTATTTTAAATAATGTTGCACTCCAACATGTCCAAGCATTGAAATATTGATTCAGGATCAAGGGAGATAATTTGTAAGACTTGATCTTATGTACATTTTATCAATAAGATCTGTTGTCAGTCGCAGCAGTGATATTGATTATAATAAACATTTGTGGTACAACCTTCTGCTTGGTAAATAATTTGGCAAGCTGTGTCCCTGATTTGAATTTTTTTATCAGAACACTAGAAAACACAGATTACTTAGTCTTCGGAACTGTCATTTAAGCCCACAAAGTCCAATATGCTACTTCAAATGTTTCACTCACTGATTGGACGATCAGAAAGTTCACCTGACATGACCTATCAAGGGTTTGGCAGATCTTTTCATGGTATTGAATCGAGTAAAAGATCTGAGTTATTGAGAGAGTGTAATATTATTCAATACAGTCCTTGTTCCACTACATTGTCATCAGATCATACTATCCCGGAAAACTGTACAGTTTAACTGAGCTCATTTAATCACTTCAACAAATGATTCCATCATCCAGAGCTACAGATAAGCTGCATATTTGAGTAAAATACCCCCAAAACTATTCAAAACCCAATTACTTTCAATTAACCTGTGTACAGAAACACATGCATGAAATGAAAAACTCATATGTTTGAAAACAGCACACGTAAATACCCAATGAAGCTTTTTAAGCATGCGTACAACAGACCTAATTTCTGAAACACAATTACGAGCTAATTTATTTTCCGAGTCAAGCCTATATTTAAAACTGTTATATACATCTAAAACATTACTTCATATTTTGGGAAAAAACCAATAGAGTGATGAATAGATGAGTGAAAAAATATTGGTTACCCAATGAAAAATGTAATAACCCAATTAAAATAGAAACCTTCAAGTAAAAACTCAATTGCTCAAAAACTTACCTGAAGCTCTGATCATCCTTAACCCAACGTCACAAACATTACTGTTTTGCAAGTGTGGTTTGTTCATTTTGCCGTTTGCTGTGTATGATTGAAATCTTTTTGGTTAAGCAAAATAATATTTTAGTCTGTGCAGTTGTGATGAGTGTAGTGTTTTGTTTGTTTCACACATCTTAGGTCTGGTGTCGGTGCCGTCCTTTCTTTGCATAGTGTGGCTTTGATTGATTTTGTATCTTCTGTTTGGGGTGACTTTTGGGCAATGTTGTGTATGTGCTTTTCCGTTTCAGAGGGGCACTGAGAAATATCATGATGGCGAACAACCAAGCGAGCAGCCTGCGAAGTGGGGCGTGGCATGGTACAAGCAAGACTACCCCGAAAACACTCTCGAACCTGATGTAATTATTTGCGATATTTACATGCCACATGCATTGCGTCACTCGCAGAATGTTTTTCTTTAACACATATATAAGATGTTTTTCAATTCTTCAGGTGAATTGTTTTGCAATGTACACTTTGCCAAAATTGATACACATATTTGGGCGTTTGCGACAATGGGTGATTATTTTTCTCTCTGTGTTGTGTTTCTGCCTGACTACTTACCCCCTTATGCATGGCTTGTCCTCAACCTAGCTGAAATATTCACATCCATCTTGTCTTCCAACCCATTTCTTCTTCATTCATTTCATCACCTGTCACACATCATCTCATCTCACCTGTCGGCCTTATTGATCAGGGTGCATCAGGGTGAGAAAATTTGTTTTTTCACTAGTCCACAAAACTGATCTGCTACCAAGGTGCCATCTACACAATGGTTACTGTGGTAGTCCACAAGGACATGTCACACGTCCTTCCTGAATTGTACTATAAGTAATTTAAGAAATGAAGTTGTGAATAAATTTGTTTTGTTTTTTAAAAAAAAAAGAAGAATATGGAGGGTCAATTTCTTCTATTAGAATCATCGGTTGATGCATAGGAAAAATATTTATGAGTGAGTGAGTTAAGGTTTAACGTCACATCGGCAGTATTTCAGCCATATCGTGACGAGAAAATATTTATGAACTGCACAACTGTTTGAAATAGATATTGATATAAAAAAGTATGAAAACAAATTGGGTGTTCTTGAACATCTTTAGAGTAGTATAATTCTACTGTGCAGTAGAAATTGGCACTAGTTCTATGGTCCTTGCCAAACTGCTCAACAGTTAAGGTATCATGAGGACTAGTAGAAATTAGCTAGATTTGATAGGTTTTGCTATATGTTATCATCATAGGACTAGTGGAATGAAAGTGTCAGTTTCTATCGCAGGTTTGACTGACAAGTGTCATATGACTGTCAACTGCAAAAGAAAAATATTCAAACAACCCTAAGATTTATTAATGCAACTGATTTGAGTATACTTACTTGAGTTATGCTTATGACTTGTTAGATTTTGAAGCCAATCAGATTCTTCCCTTAGGATCATCTCCATAAACTGATGGCCACTTCACACACTTGACGGTGATTGTTTCAGAACCCCAACGAGCAGCTTGCCCAGGATGTGTCCAGTACTGCTGTTCTCACCCCCCTCGATGATGACTTGGTGGGAAATGTCCAAGATCCATCTGATCGTGGAAACTGGTCGGGTCGCTTCGACTTCCTCATGTCTCTGTTGGGATATTCAGTCGGCCTTGGAAATGTCTGGAGGTTCCCGTACCTGGCATACACCAATGGAGGAGGTTTGACATCTTTTTGTCCTTATCTGGGCCCACTTGCACAAAGCGATCTTAGCGCTAAGACTATTGTAAGCCTATGCTAAAGTATGGGAGTTTCAATCATCTTAGCGCTAAGATCGCTTTGTGCAAGTGGGCCCTGGTCTTTGTTTGTTGTTTAACGCTGCACCCAGCTGTATTCCAGCTATGTGATGGAAGTCTGTAATTAATCTAGTCTAGACCAGACAATCCAGTGATTTGACACCATTATCAACAACCTATGAAATTGGGATACCATGACTTTCATCAACCATGGTTAAGAGGAAAGAGTGAAGATCCGGGGTAGAATAGGTCTTCAGCAACCCATGCTGGCCGTAAAAGGCGACTGTGCTTGTTGTAAGAGGCGACTGACGGGATCGGGTGGTCAGGCTCGCTGACTTGGTTGATGCATGTCATCGATCCCAATTGCGTGGATCGATGCTCATGATGTCAATCACTGGATTTCTGGTCCAGACTCGATTATTTACAGACCGCCGTCATATAGCTGGAATATTGCTGAGTGCAGTGTTAAACAACAAACAAACAAAGAGGAAAGAATGTAATATAGGAATATCATCATGTGTCTGTGTATGTCGATGCATATTGACATAGTTAGATATTTGAAAATACAACTTCAAGTTTAAAGAAAAAACTTCCTTTGTGATTTAAATAACTTTGTCAACCTTTGGGGTCCCCAGCAACCTATGCTAGACGTATGATGCAACAGACCCTGTTGCTTGGTTGGTTGTGCATCATTTCATGGTGGCATGAAAGAACTTTGCTCGTTATATCAGTCACTGGTTCAACTTGTTTGGTCTAGACTTTATTTTCAGGCTGATATCATGTAGCTGGGATATTGCTGTATTGTGTAACGTTAAACCAAACTGGTAGTGATTTAAGAATGAGTTTAATTTTTCCAGGAGTTCATCACTGAATGTATTTGTGATTAAGGAATGAGTTTAATTGTTCCTGGAGATCCGACACTGAATGTATTTGTGATTTAAGAATGAGTTTAATTGTTCCTGGAGCTCCTACACTGAATGACCCGTGAAGATCCAGGGTAGAATAGGTCTTCAGCAACCCGTGCTTGCCATAAAAGGCGACTATGCTTGTTGTAAAAGGCGACTAACGGGATCGGGTGGTCATGCTCGCTGACTTGGTTGATGCAGGTCATCGATCCCAATTGCGTGGATCGATGCTCATGATATCAATCACTTGATTGTCTGGTCCAGACTAGATTATTTACAGACCGCCGTCACATAGCTGTAATATTGCTGAGTGGGGCGTAAAACAACAAACCAACCAACCAACCAACCTACACTGAATGTATTTGTGATTTAAGAATGATTTTAATTGTCCCCATGGTCCCAGGAGTTCTCACACTGAGTGTATTTGTGATTTCCAGGAGCCTTCCTGTTCCCCTTCATCATCATGTTGCTGCTGGTCGGGCTGCCGATGATGTTCCTGGAACTCGCCTTTGGTCAGTTTGCTGCACTCGGGCCAGCAGGCATCTTTGACCGCATCTGTCCTCTCTTCTACGGTAAGTTGGTGTGAACAGTGTTCCAAGTTAAAGCTTCGCTCGTCATGCCGAAGACCCGGTGTTAAGCTCATTTCTGGTGTCCCCTGCCGTGATATTGCTGGAATATTGCTAAAAGCGACGTAAAATCAAACTCAATCACTCCAAGTTAAACCATGAATGTCAGGGGGTCCTTCAGGGATTGAAACCTGAATGACCACCCCTGATGTAAGTTTTTTGACCTTGCAAAGAAAGTAATAATCAGGGATACCCTGGAAATGATTACCTATGAGAGAAAATCTCCCCTGGTCCAAAAGCAATCAGATTTTTTGGTGTGTAATGAGATTTTGCTAATTTTCAGAGATATTTCATATTCACCCAGTGTGGAAACTGTATTTGATTTTTGGTACTTGTGACTCAAATAATGTTGCAAGTAATGTTACTAGACTATATAGATATATCCTTGGATATCCTATTTTCAAACATTAATTATTCCACTGCGAGTACATGTATTAGCATTAGTATTAACCAAAAATTACAATCGACTTACATTTCTGTTCTACTTTAAGAGAAATCACACAAATATTTGTGTATTTCTGTTCGGGGCGGTCGGGTAGCCTAGTGGTTAAAGCGTTCGCTCATCATGCCGAAGACCCGGGTTGGATTCCTGACATGGGTACAATGTGTGAAGCCCATTTCTGGTGTCCCCCGCCATGATATTGCTGGAATATTGCTAAAAGCGGCGTAAAACCATACTCAGTCAGTCAGTCAGTATTTCTGTTCATTGTCGACTTGATGGGGAATTATTCGCGAGGGCAATTATAGATCGTTTAGGAGGCATGTTTACCACCATCAGCTGTTCATTTCGTTGGCATGCAGGAGACAACAATCTGCAGTTATCAAATTACGACAATGTGTGTTTAGATCGTAATTCAATATATTTCGAGTGATGACAGTAAATTGCGACTGTTGTAAATGGTATTACAGTTTGTTGGCACAAAATATATTACGGTATTTACATTCCAGAGCTTTCGTCAATTTCGCCGTCTTATTTCCGTCTGAAGTGTGTACCATATCAGAAGCCGGGTCTCTGATCCTATCAAATGAAATCTTATCAATATGCACTTTTCATTGAATTTGAAGTGACAGTTCATTATACAATGACTATTGCTCCAGGTTCACCCTCTTGTTTAATTAGCCAGAGGGGGCGCCGCGATTCGCTGTGCAGAGTTGCGTCCCTTAGGCACGCCAGAAACCTATGATTGTGGGTTCGAATCCCGGTTCGCCCCGATTATGTTTCTAGGTTTGTCAGCACCATACCCGTGCTCGTGGGTTTTACCGAAATTGGTAAACGTCTGAGACCTGCATCACTTCTGGCTTTCCTTCCACATTAAGCTGACACGCCGTGATGTGACTGGAATACTGTTAAAAGCGGCGTTAAACCAAACTCACTCACTCACTAATTAGCCAGAATTAAGTCATTTATTTCACACATGTGCAGCAGGCAGAAAATGTTTACAGGTAACCGGAAGTTACTAAGACTTGACATTCATCATGTTTGCGTTACATTTGAATGACTAAGTAACAGTTTTCTATTTTTATGGACAAATTTGGAAGCAAACGTATCGAAGCATATTCTAAAAAATCTAAATCCAACTTGCTGTTGGGCCACTAGATCAAAATTTGTAATTCACGCACGGTGGCCATTCTTGCATGAGGGTACGTTCATGAAAACTCTTCCACCGGTGCCGTCACCGGCAAGGCGAATCTCATCTTAATTGCAATCATTTCTGATCTGCAGTTCATAGATTATTATGGAGAAAGAGTTGTATGTATATTCATATAGTTTTTTGTTTTGCTGTCATTACAAAATCGAAATTTGCTCGTGTTTTGAAACTTTACCTGTGATTGCCTTTTTTTCTCTTGATTTCTGCACGGATGCACATACATGAAGATCATCGTCTTTGATTTCTGCTAGGATTTAAGTCTTAAAAAAATATGTTTAATGACTTGGATTTGTAGATCACGGAGTAAGATTTTCGTGCTACCAAAGTGTTTAGCTTGTAAAAACAAACACTTGTTTGCCAATCGGGGATAAAAAAAATGTTGCCCACTCCACCATTGTCAGCTGATACAAAGCTCCATGCAGTGATATAGGAATCAGTTGTGCACAGTAAAAGATAGCATGCAATGTTGCGAGCATGCAAATCGCTGTTTCGATTGACAACATTTGACTATTGAATAAACTAGCGTGGAAGTTTTTTATTGACATTTTAAGGTACCGTAGATAAATTTATTCAAGCAATACAACATTTTTTATTTTTGTAGGTGAAAATGAGTGTTAATGCAGATAAAACTACTGAAAGATCTACGCGATTTTCAATCGCGCTGATTGAATGTTGATGCGATATCTACGACAACTATGCGAGAATATCGCGGAATCGCGGCCTAAGTCAATCCCTGCAAAATACTGATGTGGTTATGGTTCAATGGTGGTAGGGGACCGCCTTCGTGGTCGAGTGGTAGAGCGTCTGCCCGGAGAGTGGAAGGTCTGGGGTTCGATCTCCGACCGTGTCATACCAAAAGACGTTAGAAGATGGTACTTGTTGTTACCCTGTCTTGCGCTCGGCATTAAGGGGCTAAAACAAGGACTGGTCAGCTCGGAGTCAGTATACTGTGTCTGAGTGGGGTATTCATGTTAAACTGCCGCATGGTATCTCAGTGAGCTAGCACTAAAAATCGGCATCAGTCCGGACTAGTACAAACAGCCACACACACAAATACACGTGCATGCACGTCGCTATATAAGTGCAAGAATCTTGGACGCGACGTTAAACCCCATTTCACCTCACCTCACCTCAATTGTGGAAGTATTTTCTGGGTTAATCGGATAGATGTAACTCATTGCTTTCAAGTCTTATTCCTGCTCTCTTTTCTTAAGTGGATTATATTGGTTAACATGTATTGGAATAGAAAATCAGTCTTGTTCGTTTGCGAGACGAGTACATTATTGTAACATTATTGCCAGTAGGTCTGTCGATTGCAATGAAAGAGATATCATGGTTATGCAACCGTGGAAACAGCTTTGTTGGAATATGGCTGGTGCGCTTTGTGATTTGTCAGTTCACATTCAGTAATCGTGTAATTCTGTTGAAAATATGTTCACCAAATAAATACTGTAAATCTTGAAACTAATGCGAGCATTCATATTTAGTCGCATTTTGGGCTTGGGGCCAGCAGTTGCATTTTTTTGGAGACATCTTCATTTCAAGATTTACAGTTATAGTGATGTTACGTACTCACGTATCTAATGAGATGGTGTGTTGTATGTTGGCAGGTCTGGGCTATGGCATGGTGGCTGTATCGTCCCTCGTGTCGTTGTACTACACAGTCATCATTGCCTGGGCAGTGCTGTACATGTTCACGTCCTTCACCTCGGAGCTGCCATGGCAGAGATGTCATTCACCCTGGAAGACGAAGGGTAAGTAAGAACTGCTGGCAATGTGTGTCAACCCTGTCGGGACAATGTGTGTCAACCCTGATGGGACAATGTGTGTCAACCCTGTGGGGACAATGTGTGTCAACCTCAGGGGACGTCGTGTGTTAAAACTGTGGGGACAATGTGTGTCAACCCTGATGGGACAATGTGTGTAAACCCTGATGGGACAATGTGTGTCAACCTCAGGGGACGTTGTGTGTTAAAACTGTGGGGACAATGTGTGTCAACCCTGATGGGACAATGTGTGTCAACCTCAGGGGACGTTGTGTGTTAAAACTGTGGGGACAATGTGTGTCAACTCTGATGGGACAATGTGTGTCAACCTCAGGGGACGTTGTGTGTTAAAACTGTGGGGACAATGTGTGTCATCCCTGATGGGACAATGTGTGTTAACCTCAGGGGACGTCGTGTGTTAAAACTGTGAGGACACACAGGAAGAACCTGAGAATCATTGTCAAGAACCACCACTAGCAATGGGCCGTTCTTCCGTTTGTAATTTCAACGATCCCGTGGTTATTCATGTGCATTACAAAGTCGTTCTTCTCTAACCTTCACCTAAAGGGAGGTCGGCTTCATTGAAAGGCGACTAACGGGATCAGGTGGTCAGGCTCACTGACTTGGTTGATGCATGTCATCGATCCCAATTGCGTGGATCGATGCTCATGATATTAATCACTGGATTGTCTGGTCCAGACTCGATTATTTACAGACCACTGTCATATAGCTGTAATATTGCTGAGTGCGGCGTTAAACAACAAACCAACCAACCAATCATGTCATACATAGATGACTGCCTCATGAATCACCAAGAAAGACAATTACTTCTTCAGTATTGGGATTTTACGATGAATCGATTCTGCACAAATGATTGATCATTTAATTAAAGAGAATTCGGTTTTAAGTGTCTGATATTTACTTGCTGTCATTAAAGTCATTCCAAAGGGCACATCTTCTGGTATGAGACTAACATGTGGTCCATGTTTCAGACTGCTATTCCTACACGGATGCTGATGACTGTATGAACAACAATGGGTCTGTTTACTTTGAGAGCCACTGCTACAATTCTTCGTATGCTGCGGATAACAATATAACTGCACAGGTCAATGTTACATCAAGGCATGCACCAGCCCAGGACTTCTTCGAGTGAGTTAATTAGTATAATCAAGTGTGAATACAACTTTTATTTACCTTGATAGTGAACATAAGATATAAAAATGATGCTCGTTATTCTCGAGACAAAGTACCTTTGATAGCCAATTGTTATAGTTGTTGAAAATGTGACCAAATGATTTAGAGTAATGGGTTATGTCAGAATGATTAGCATTCCTGAAAGTGGGACGAGGACGGTTAACTCATGTACTTGAGTTGGGTGGGTCCTGAGTAGGACCTGGGTACCCACAGGACTAACCCTGGTTAGTCACGTGATATACTGTTTAACGATAACAACAATAAAACGCCATTGTTACGCGACTAGTCATTAATGTTCACCTTTCTTTCTGACTACGCACACATTCCTTCTGACTTTCAGATGATTAAGTAAAGACTGCTTGAAAATAGTATTGTCAATGCTGGCATGATATTCAGTTTGTGTTATCAACAAGAGTGCTTTGTATAATCATGTCTGCTCTGTTACAGGAATAACATCCTCTCTATAACAGACAGCATAGCCGATCTCGGAACAGTGAAATGGCAGATAGCCCTGTGTCTACTGTTTGCGTGGACGCTTACCTTCCTGGCTTTAAGTCGAGGCGTGAAGTCTGTTGGAAAGGTTGGTGGTTGAGATCAGTCAGAATTTGGGCAGGGACTATTTTCAGGTGTGTGAGCAAGTGTTTACAGTAGCAAGTCTGGGCCAGACAATGTAGTGATTGATATTATTAGCAGTGACCCACGCTGTTAGGGAACGATGACACGCAATCAGCCAAGTCACTGAGCCTAAACAGCAGATCTTTACATGGTGCACACTACAAGAATAGGTTTCTGGGGACCAATTAATTCTTCCCCAAGTTCCACTGAGAGAAACTAGAAGCTGACAGCTGGTTAAAAAATCTTACATCAAGGCAATATTTTTTATGTAAGAAAATTATGAATCTGCTCACCCTTTAAAAAAAGTTAACATGTTTTAATAAAAATATTCAAAAGCATTATTTAGTTGTTTTTTCCAACTGTAAATTTACCTGTTCACCTCAATAGTGATTGTGCATTAAAATATGTACTCACCAAAATGGTAAACATCTAAGACCTGCATCACATCAGAATTTCCTCCCACACCAAGCTGATATGCTGTAAAACAACCGCAATACTGTTTGAAGCTGTGAAAAATAAACTCACTCAATCACTGCGGATTTGAGAGAATATAACAATTCTATGTATTCTGTGCTTGGGTCTTGTGTTGTTTCTAATCCATTGTGGGGTAATTGTGGTTGTCTAAGGTGCCACAATTTCACTGTGCAGAATTGCGTCCCTTGAGCATGCCATTGTGGGTTTGAATCACAGTGTTCATGGGTTTTGGTAAATGTCTGAGACCGCATCACTTCAGGCTATCCTCCAGCAATAAGCTGACACCCACTGATATAACTGGAATATTGTTCAAAGCATCATTGTGGCGGTCAGGTAGCCTAGAGGTTAAAGCGTTTGCTCGTCACGCTGAAGACTCGGGTTCGATCCCTTACATGGGTACAATGTGTGAAGCCCATTTCTGGTGTCCCCCACCGTGATATTGCTGGAATATTGCTAAAAGCGGCGTAAAACCATACTCACTTACTCAATCACTCACTCAATCAATCAATCAATCAATCAATCAATCAATCAATCAATCAATCAATCAATCAATCACTCAATCACTCACTCACTCACTCACTCACTCACTCACTCACTCACTCACTCACTCACTCACTCACTCTGACCCATTGTTGTATTTGCAGGTGGTGTATTTCACAGCCCTCTTTCCCTATGTGGTTCTGACAATCCTGTTCTTCCGTGGAGTCACCCTGGAAGGTGCACAAGATGGCATTATATATTACCTCACACCTGACTTTGAAAAACTCAAGCTAGCAAAGGTAATTAGTCTTTGCCTGATAAAAGCACATTGTTTGCCTTCATTTCAGTTGCCTGCCTTATCACAGCCTACACGATGAGGCTGGATGTTGTAATTGATATCTTTTCCCACCAAAACTGTGCTTGCTCCGAAGCAGCCGGCCACATATGTAGCAGACGACACTATCAAAGAGTCAAGCATATCACCGATTTTTACTGAAGAATGTAATATTTCTTTCAAAAATAGGTTTGATTCTTTGATATTTGATAAGAAATTAGGCCTTGTTAGGCTTATGCTGAGAGATTTGATGCATTGTGACATTGACAAGACACCATCATCCTCAGTTTCATAAAGACACCAGAGACTGATGATTACCGCTAGACTGTCATTTTTTTATCTGAGCTTTAACTACTTGGAATTACACATTTTTTCAGTTTTTGTGTTTTTTGTTTTGTTTTGTTTTGTTTTTGCATCAACAAAACAAATAGTAACAAATTTGGATAAGAAATGGAAACATTTCCTGAGACTTAGTTCTGAGTTTTAGTTTTTTGTTTGTAATTCCAGACATGGGTGGATGCTGCGGTGCAGATTTTCTTTGCTTTGAGTCCTGCCTGGGGCGGTCTGATCACTCTATCCAGCTACAATAAGTTCCACAACGACTGCTTTAAGTAAGTATATGTATGAAGGACATCAAAGAAAGTCTTTTGGGTTGATGGTGACAGATGATGCTGAGTCGTTGACCTATGGAAATGATGATTAATTAAATGTATTTGTGTGAAATTCTGTTACATGGTTAAAATGCCTAAAGTTTGACAATTTCCGGGGTGGTTGGGTAGCCGAGTAGCTAATGCGGTTGCTTGTCACGCCGAAAACCCAAGTTCAATTCCTCACATGGATACAATGTGTGAAGCTAATTTCTGGTGTCCCCCCGCCGTGATATTGCTGGAATAGTGCTAAAAGCAGCGTAAAACCATACTCACACACCCACTCAAATAATTTCCAATAATCATGTTATGTGTTGTAGATCATCACAATAATTACCAGTAACTGTGTCTTAATTGTCGTCGTCTTATTGTTGCAGCAGGATGCTTTGTTCTAAGACAAAAAAAAATTTCATTTTTTCAGGGATACTCTGATTGTATCTATAGGAAATATCTGCACAAGTATATTTGCTGGCTTTGTTATTTTTGCCATTGTGGGCTATCTGGCAAATGAGCTGAAAATGCCAGTAGACAAGGTTGTTGAGCAAGGTACGTACCCACTGGACCTAATGCTTTTCATATCCTTCAGATGTTTAGTAGAACTGGATGCAACTTGATCAGCTGTATAAATATACTACACAAAAGATAACCCATTACTGAGCATAACTCAGAAACCGTTAAATATTTCTCTACGAAACTTTGCATGTCTATCAGACTCATGCTGAACTGATGCCTTTTGCTATTTAGGAATTTTTAGAATTTTTTATGTTTTACGTTTCCATGGCAACAAGTTAGACTCGGGTTCTATAAGGGTGGTGTTCATTTCCGGAGCGTAACTCAAAAACCATTAAATACTTTCTTACAAAACTTTGCATGTCTACCAGGCACATACTGAACTGGTGCCATTTTATATTAAGGAGTTTTTGAAATGTGTATTTTAGAATTTCCATTGCAGCTATTTTGACATGGGCTAAGAGAAATGTTGGGTCAGTAACCTGGTTTGGGACCATAACTTGTTAAAATGGGCGGGGGATATAGATGACTTCGTCGACTATACGCTTGTGTTATAGGATGTGCTATCATATTTGTGGCCAGCTTGTGTTTCCAAGCTACATGATCCACTCACACTTTCATTATGACAAGTGAACAGTGAAGTATTCTTGCCATGTTTGGATCTTCTACTTCTATTCTCACCCAGCATGGTATAAAGTCTTTTATTACCTATAATGTTACAAATATAAATTGTATGTGCACTGGTGTAAATATTACTTCAGCGCACCAGTGTATTGTTTACGTCATGTAGACAGCATTGTTGGCGTCCTTTGAATCTTATTGTGACGTAAGGTCAGAAACGATATAACAGCTGAAGATTGTTCATGTCGTTCGACAATTGTTCTAAGAAGGCACTCATGATCACTGCTTTTTTTTCTAAAGGGGAGCTCAAAAGAAATAATAAATGATGGGTAATAAAGAAATTAAAAAGAGTTTTTCGAAAATTGTGTATGAATTCATGTATTACTCTCTCGCTCGGGAAATACAAAAGAAATTGACAATCGTTTTGTAGAATCACTATGACACATAATAATATAATAATCTCTCTTTGTCCTAGGTAGATTCAGTTCATATGAAATTGACCTAAGTCGTAAATGAGATGGATCGTTGATCAGTGTCCAGCCTCATTTATTTGAAGACTGCCATGATTTAGCTGAAATATCACTGACAGCAACATCAAACAACATAACTCACTCACCAACTCACTAATGTTGGCCCTGTTTTGTTCCAGGTCCGGGGTTGGCCTTCATTGTGTTCCCAGATGTGGTGACGCGGCTCCCCATCTCACCCCTTTGGTCGTTCCTGTTCTTTTTCATGTTGATCACACTGGGTATGGGAAGTGAGGTAAGGAACATCACACCAGCACAACTCTATTGAACATCACGGGCGGTCGGGTAGCCTAGTGGTTAAAGCGTTCGCTCGTCACGCCGAAGACCCGGGTTTGATTCCCGACATGGGTACAATGTGTGAAGCCCATTTCTGGTGTCCCCCGCCATGATATTGCTGGAATATTGCTAAAAGCCGCGTAAAACCAAACTCACTCACTCACTCACTCACTCACTCACTCACTCACTCACTCACTCACTCACTCACTCACTTTTGAACATTACAGCTCTCTTTTTGTGTGTGTATGTGTTACAAATCCATAAAAAGAACTTGAAATTATAGAAGTCCATTTTGGTAATCCATAATTGATGCATCTGTCTACAAAGGTACATGCATGTTTCAGTTTGCTTTGTTGGAGACTATAATGACGGCTGTCCAGGACACATATCCACCTCTGCGACAGAAGAAGACCTGGGTTGTGCTTGTTGTGAGCATCTGCGGCTTCCTTGGTGGGCTTGTTATATGCACAGAGGTGAGATACAATTTCAGTAACCCCCGTGGGGATTCCAGGTAGAATAGGACCCCAGTGACCTAAGCTGGTCGTGATAGGTGACTTCACTGATCAGAGACCGGTGGGGTAGCCTAGTGGTTAAAGCGTTCGCTCATCACGCCGAAGGCCCGGGTTCAATTCCCCACATGGGTGCAGTTTGTGAAGCCCATTTGTGATGTCCCTAGCCGTGATACTGCTGGAATATTGCTGGAAGCGGCATTAGACTTTACTCACTCACTCATCATTGATCAGGTTGTCATGCTGAGTGGCTTAGGTGATAGTGACGTTTGCTGAGTGCGGCGTTAAACATGTTAAACAACAAACAAAACGATGCCAGGATGGTAATGATGACCATACTCCTCCCTTTCAGGGTGGAATGTACATCTTGCTGTTAATGGATACGTATGCTGCCAGCTGGTCTGTTTTCTTCATGGCTATCCTTGAGTGCGTCATCGTATCATGGATATATGGTATGTCTTCATTACTCCATACTTGGTTTCTATTTTGATTCGGTTATTACATTTTTCATTGGGTAACCAATAATTTTTCACTCATCTATTCATCATCCTACTGGGTTTTTCCCAAAATGAGCTAACATTTTAAGATTTCAAGAAGAAAAAAATGTTTTAGATGTATATAAAGGTTCTAACTAAAGGCTTGACTCGGACAGTAAATTAGCTCGTAATTGTGTTTCGGAAATCAGCATCGTTGTACGCATGCTGAAACAGCTTCATTGGGTATTTAGGCATGCTGTTTTTATAGATTTGAGTTTTTCATTTAATGCATGCATTTCTGTACGCAAATTATGAAAGTAATTGGGTTTTGAATATTGGGGGAGGGGGGGGCTATTTTCTGCAAATACACAGCTTATCTCTAGCTCTGGTTATGTCATCGTTGTTAGTACCGTATTCGACGTAATAAGCGCCCAGGGCGCTCTCAAAACTAGAAATAGGGGGCTCTTATTAGAATATTATTTTGGTGAAAAAAACCCGGAGTTGTGAGATAAATTTCTTGGTTTATGCTGACAGCCTGAAATGTTTATGTATTAATTGCCCATAATTTAGGGTGGATATAACACACGAGTGCGTATTATTCGCGAAAAAATAAGTCTTGTGTACATTGATCAATCGGAAGGGGTGCCAATTGGGATTGTTCACTAGCCAATATATTAGCAAATATCGCCATGGGCGTTTATTAGAGCGGGGCGCTTATTACGTCGAATACGGTATTCTCATTTCCTTGACAACTCAACCTATTAAACACCAGTTTTACAGAGGCTTGATTACTTAAGGGGAGGGGCTGGGCTGTTTGATAAAGCATGTACTGATGTAGGTCAGCATGCTTGTCTAAATTGATCAGGGACAAGTGCCGTTTCCATTAGAGCTGAGTATCGCCTGGTATCTTGGGATACAATTTATATCACAATACAGACTGACGATTCTACTGGTATCACGATACACCTCTTCCTTGTGTTCTGCATCCGTGAAGATCCGGGGTAGAATAGGTCTTCAGCAACCCATGCTTACCGTGAAAGGCAACTAACCGGATCGGGTGGTTAGGCTCGCTGACTTGGTTGATGTCATTGTGTGGATCGATGCTTATGATGTCAATCACTGGATTGTCTGGTCCAGACTTGATCATTTACAGACCGCTGTCATATAGCTGGAATATTGCTGAGTGCGGCGTTAAACAACAAACCAAACCCAAACCTTGTGTTCTGCCATGCTTACAGGTGGCGCTATGCTACTTCTGCCATTATGGGAGGTAATTCTATTAGTTCATGTTGTAATTACAGCGTATCACAATCTCACGAACTGACGATTCAAGTATCGTGTGCACCTAAGTATCGATGATATCGTAGGCATCGGGTGAACCGTTACAGCCCAAGTATCCATGCTAGATACTAGACTAGATTGCGGCTGATGTCAACGAGCAACACTGATCAACCCACACCTTCATATCTTGCTGATGTAACATCCAACTCAATCACATAGACTGATGCTGCAATGTATACTCTTAACGCAACTTTCTCTCATTTCTTCCAGGATGTGACAGATTCCTCCAAGATATTCAACAGATGATTGGCGTTAGAAGTCGTCACTGGCACAACTTCTTCAAACTTTTCTGGAAATTCCTGACTCCAGGAACACTAATTGTAAGAAGATATATTTTTGATCAACAGACATTAACCGTGTGCTTTGCATCAAAGTCATCTTCTGTTTGTTGTTATTTGCTAGTTTTTAAGAAGATTGCCAGAAGGTTCATGTCATTGGCCACTGACAAGAAAACTAATACCCTCCTATTTGTGAGCATTTATTCATGTTAAACTGCGGCATGGGAGTGGGCTGGCACTGTAAAATCGGCATTAGTTCAGACTAGTACAACCAGACACGCACACACAGACGTCACTATGTAAGTGCAATAATCTTAGACGCGACGTTAGACCCTATTTCCCTTCACCTCACCACAAGTATTAGGTCCCATCACCCATTAACATTCACATCTATGTGACGGTCAGGGTCCTGTTCCGCAAAGCAGTTGTGACCGCTCCGTATCTAGTGGAAGACGTCCGCCCGGAGAGTGGAATGTCCAGGGTTCAATCCCCGGCCGCGTCATACCAAAAGACGTTAAAAGATAGTACTTGTTGTTACCCTGTCTGGCGCTCGGCATTAAGGGGCTATAACAAGGACTGGTCGGCTCGCAGTCAGTATACTGTGTCTGAGTGGGGTATCCATGCTAAGCTGCGGCATGGTATCTCAGTCAGCATCAGCATCAGTCAATATATGAGAAAGAGTAGGGGGGGGGGCAGTTTTCATATGTATTTCCAATCATGTGGGTCATCTAAGATGGCATGAGTTGCATCCTTTATTATCATGAGTTCCAATCCCAGTTAGTCTTGATCATGTTTCTTGGTTTGTCAGCACCATACCCATATTTGTGGATTTCACCAAAGTGATAAACATCTAAGACTTTGGTCACTTTGGGCTTGCTCCAAAGCTGACATGCCCTGATATAACAGCAATTTTTTAACTTATCCTGCATTACATATTGCACATTGCTCTTTCTGACCAAGTCCTAACTGGAAATGAATGACAATCTATCAAGCGTCTTCAGTGACTCTTCGTCAACATGACCTTCGTGAATCTGGTGTTGGTAGACTCTCCCCCCATATGTCATTAGTCTCTTTGCGGTGTTAAACTAAACTCTCACACAATCACGTGGAAACAAACTGTGTGACTGAGAGACCTATACTAGGGTCCTGTAAAAGACACTACAGACATATCTGACCCTCGTTTCTCTCCGTAGTTCCTGCTGTTCTTCAACTGGATTCAGTATACTCCGATCAAGTACGGCAAGAAGCGGTATCCCGTGTGGGCTGATGGTGTGGGCTGGGTGTTGGCCTTTATACCAGTGCTGCTCATTCTAGGAATGAGTATACATAAAGTTCTCAGCGCTCCCTCAGACATGACACTGCTGGAGGTAAGTGCTTGAACTCATGAGTTGAATGGCGACTAAACGGCTGAATGGATAGGCTAGTGACTTGGTAATCGTATGTCATTGTCAGCGGGGCGTCGTTCACAATATCATTCCCTGGCTCAGAGATAAATCTTGGCCACTTTATTATGGGATGTAAGCAATATCATTGCAGATTCCTCCAAAATTATCATTTTAACAGGAATATTCATTCACAAATACTGTTGTGTATCTTTGGTTTGTAATGTGTGGCCAGCGGACATAAATAATCTCCAAGGATACATATAATATTTAATAATATAATCTCATTTATGATTGCATGTAAAGAAGTGTTATTTATAACAAATGTTATATTGGGGATAACACTTAGCTAGTAATGTACAGATTCTAGTACTTTTTGGGGTGTTATTTCATTTATTAGTTTGTTTTTTCTATTTAATGTGTACGCATGCAATTATGGACATTTCACAGAAAGCTCTCCTTTGTATTGCGGGATATTGCTAAAAGTGGAGAGAAAACATACTAGCTTTTAAAGCAAACATGTTCATACAACAAATATAACTTTTGTGCTTTTTGGTTCATTCACAGAAAATCCGACACTTGTTAAAAGCAACACCAGAGTGGAAACCAGCTCATAAACTGCCAGAAATTGATATAATGGATACTGAGGAAAAGGGAAAGACAATTACCAACCCTGGATTCAATGGCAATGCCAGTCCATTTGAAACAAGGATATAGTCAGTGACGACACTGATGAAATCCTTTGACTATCTATCACCTAATTATGTCAGCCAAAGGGAGACAACTCATCTAGCATTCCACAACGCAGGACTGACAATGTACATTGTTCTAAGTGAACAACAGCCACACTTAATCCTGCATATGTCCAATGCTGCGTCATTCCCACAATCTCGTCTAGAATAGTCAACCAAGAAATGAGTTTAAGAATTGTCAACCGTCTCCTTTGGCTGGTAAACTGTTGTTGACTTTGTTCGACTACGCCAACGAGGGCCATTCCTCGGCGTAGTTTTGCTAGGATGCTTGGGGTGGAAGTTATGCTTCTTCTTGAGCTAAGTGCCTGGGTAGGTGACTCAACATATTGCTGCAGGCGCCGATTGAGTGGAATTTTTTCAACTTTTGACCCTTCTTAAAAATCATCCACAAGTCGAAGCATTTCAAGCCACTGTTTAAAGCACAGGACACGATTATGTTGGAAGTTTGCCCATTATGGTTGTTTATATTCCGTGGCCAGTCATCATGAAGCTACCATATCATCATCATCATCAGAGGTTGTTATTGGTCTGACTGTCAGGGAGTGTTGGAACTGGGCTGGCTTAACGATGTATGGCTGTCTGTATGTGTCATTGTTACACCAACACTGTGGGTTCATCAGTTAGTAAGTGTTGCTGACATATATTTACGATTGGTCAACAAACTGAGGTTTCAGGGACTAGTAGTGGGACGATGCACCGATGCATTGGTAGATCGCAATTTTTTACTTTTCGATACATGTATCGATCATAGTCGCACACAAAGTCAAAAGTAGCGAGTCTTACCTTTTATGTTTGCTTTTATAACTGTTACACCAAACACTAATTAGTAGTGAAAGCGTAAATATTTTCATCCACTGCGCAATTCTTGACACTGCCAACTGTAAATCGTCAGTGTGCCAGGTATTTCGCCATCCTTTGAAAAAGATGGCTTACTCACCACAAATAATAGCACATGCAAGTAACGTGATAAGTATCGGATTGTGACCAAGCTATTGTGATACGTATTGGATTGCACGGTTAGCGTATCATCCGAGCCCGAGCATGGACTCTACTTTGATAAGTCTGATGGTGCCAATTTATATTTACGAATATCTTATAGTGAATATAGGATCCTAGTCCAGTAGTCCTGTTACCATGTCATGCTTATGAAGTAGTTGCATAATGAAATCTGTAACATGAATCTTGCATTTAGACTTGAGAAAAGTGTGCTCTATTTTGGGATGTTTTCTGGGGTTGGCGTATTGGCACATCAATCATATTACAATATATAACAATAGAGAGACCTGTTTTGCGATACATATTGCAATACGTATTGAGCCCAAATTATATATATTTGTACTGTTCAAAAGGTACTTCTTTTTTCAATAATCCAGACTCCAGACTTCGAAATGGGTAGTATGGATAAACAAGACTAAATATTACGTCATCAATATGGACTGTTAATCTAAACAGCATAAAATTGTTCATATAATTATTTGTTGATTCTTCTGTGACTGTTTTAAAAAATATTGATACACAAGTGTATTGCGATACGTGTATTGCTGACGGCTGTATTGCAACATATTGACATACTAGTTGTATTGCACACCCGTATTTACCATTACAACATTACTATGTTGTAGCATCCTTATGGTTCATTGGGAAAGCCAAGTGGAATTCCCACACCCAGCCAGGATTCAAATTCCTTACATGGGTGCAGTATGTACAGTGTGTAGTCCCTCATAATAAAGGTGGGGGGCATGGGTGGCCCAGTCGTCTAAGGTGCCGCGATTCGCTGTGCAGAGTTGCGTCCCTTGGGCATGCCAGAAACCTATGTTTGTGGGTTCGAATCCCGGTTCGCCCCGATTATGTTTCTAGGTTTGTAAGCACCATACCCGTGCTCGTTGGTTTCACCGAAGTGGTAAACGTCTGAGACCTGCATCACTTTGGGCTTTCCTCCCACATTAAGCTGACACGCCGCGATATAACTGGAATACTGTTAAAAGCAGCGTTAAACCCAACTCACTCACTCCCTTTGTGTCATCATACCCCAACAGCGTGGATCTTGTTCATGTGGTCAACACTCAGTTATTTACAGGCCGTCATCGTAGAGCTGGAATTTTGCTGAGTTTGCATTTAACAAAATTAAACAACCTACTGCCATCCTTAAACAATCAGTTACCACAAAACATGTTATGCTAATGAGGTATTATGCAAGATAATTCAGCTTTGTTTGTATGTGTATATGCGTGATACAAAGTGTCAGCTCAAAATCTCCAACCGGTATTGTCAAAAGTGATTATTCCTGTGTGCTACATTACCTGTTTAGTTTAACTTAAACTTAGGAGGAGGGAGAGTAAATTTTGACCAATCAGAGACATTGTCTTGTGATGCCTCAGTATGTTGACCAATCAAATTTATTGTCACATGACCCTTTGAGGCAGCTACTCCTTTGCTTTTGTATTATCAGTTGTTGCAGATGGTTGATTTGTTAGAGGTTACTCATTTCTTTTATTTAAGTGTTGTGTGTTGCTAGCTATGTATTGCTATCCAATCTTATATCTTTTGTATTTAAGTTTGTTATATTTTGTTTCCAATTACTGGGTCTCGTTTCATCTTAAAATCACCGAGGCCGAAAAAAGAAATCAGCAGCACCCGGTGACATTTATCATTTATGAGCAAACTCGGATCTGAATTGCCAGGAAAATACTCTATCATTTGTTTACCAGGACAATTTCCTCGATAAAGAAACTTTTTTCTATCTAACTTACAAGTCACTTGTACAGGATTGTATAAAAACATTGTGATGTTTTCATTCGAAACTGTTTGGGGTAATATGTTAGTCTTTTCGAAATACATGGTAACTCATGAGCAGGTTTTTTGATGATCGAGGACAATGCATAATGTGCATGAATACAGTGGTTGAGGGATGGACACATTCATAAGGCTAAGAAAGAAATAGTCTTGGTTCTCAGGCACCGCCTACATCAGAAAGTCTGCCACACGTTCCATTTTTATTTCCATTTTGAAAAGAAAAAATGTTGATGGTTCACAACTGTTAATTTGGTAACATACTAGTTTCAACAAGCAAAACAAACAAAAAATACCGGTCGCACTAATTTTCAAAAGTCATTGCCTGAGAACCAATTCTTTTAATATTTTTAAGCCTAAAGGTGATTAATGCAGTTTTCTTAATAATTCAGGAATTTGAATTTAAAAATTAAGAATATAATTGTCCGCTGTTAAGTTTTTTGTTTTGTGTGTGAGAGATATGATCCTTTATGACCTAGTTAGTTGTATGTATATGTACATACATGCCCTTACATTGCTGGAATCTCATTTATCTCTTTCTTATTTACTATCTGCATAATTTACACTAGGTTTTTAGCTCTTCTATTTTAATGCCATCAGAGTTTTATTTGTGTTGTTGTTAATGATCTGTAAATAATACAGTTGTAATTAGTGGCATCTCATTTCATGAAACTGTAAATACGACTATGTACAAACTCACGTCACGGAACATAATCATGTTGATAGGCAGGGCGGGGGACATCTTTGTCCCCCTACCTTCTTGTTTTGATACAGTTTCTCAGAACAGTTAACACTCCTTGTATGCAGCTATAGCAGCTATAATTATAGTCCTTCTGTACTCGCGGTAGCAGAAAAGCCCATTGTTAATGTTAAAATTCCAACTCATATCTCGACATTTTAATCGAAATGATTTGGAAAATATTGTTACAGGAATATATTTGATAATTTAGACCATATCTTTTTTTAACATTTTATTTATACAACTAATTTCACACTGGAAATAGAAAAGAAATAATGAAGTTTCTGATCTTTACCCTAATCACCTTTGATATATTAAAAAAAACCTGGTTCGTGCAGAAACATCGATAGTATGTGAAAAACCCTTTCATGACATGCAAAGGTCTTCAGCAACCAATGCTTGCCGTAAAAGGCGACTACTCTTGTCGTAAGAGGCGACTAACGTGATCGGGTGGTCAGGCTTGCTGACTTTGTTGATGCATGTCATCGTATCCCAGTTGTGTGGATCGATGCTCGTGATGTCAATCACTGGATTGTCTGGCCCAGTCTCGATTATTTACAGACCACCGTCATATAGCTGGAATATTGCTGAGTGTGGTGTTAAACAACAAGCAAATAAACAAAAGCAAACTTCATGACAAGTCAAAGTGTAGTGTCATATGTCCCAGCTTTGATAATAGGGGCTATGAAGCGAGAGGTTGTTACATAAACATAGCTTTGTTGATCTCCAGTACTAGCTAAGCAACATTAATGTTAACTTATAATGGTATGTCCCATGTAGTCAAATTATGCTAACCAAATGGACGCTATTCTATTGTATTTATGGACAAGTCCTCAACATGAAGTAGAGTTTGAAATCGTCCTTTCTTCAGGGCGCTGAGATGCAGGTTTTTCTTGCTTAGGCCTTTTATTTTTTATTAGTTGTGAAAAGAACATTTTGCCTAAAATTCAATATTGGCGGGTTAATTTTTTATTTTTTTTGTCAATTAAATTCCAAATTACTACAGCTACAAATGGATGAAAAACAAAATTGTAGGTGACACCATCACGGAAGTATGATTGCAAAACAATGCCAAAAGATAATTGATTGGGTTTTTCGGGTTTGTTTTTGTTAGAATAAAGATTTATATCCATATTATTCACCATTTATTATGAATAGCGGCGATAAAATCTTTTGTTTGTTTTTTGTTGTTGTTATTTTTCATTTCATCTAATTTTGTAACAATGTCTGTTCAAATTTGTTTGTCAAGTCTTTTTATTTCATTTTGATATTTTTAGTTGCTGTTATTTTTTTATTTTCGTAAACCAACTGAAAAACAATAGAAGGCCTTATATGCAATTAATTCCAGATTTGAGGTGTTGGAAGAGCAAAATTGCATTATAATGTGAAAGCCAGGTTCTCGAAGAGGACAGCCATTTATCATGCTACATGGCTTTTATGGGTCAAGATAATTTTTGCTTTTTAGTTTGTTGAATTTGACCAAGCCTGTGTACATTTGTCCATTTTATCATTGATGGAGAAGGGAATAAGAGTTGTCATAGTGATGATACCGTTGGTTTCAGTTCCTCTGATACCAAATATACATTGCCATTGGTTCATTTAGGAGAATAATCAAGATTTATTTTGTTATGTTTAAGCAGACTGGAACCTCTTAAGTATTTATGTGTAGAAGGTTCCGGTGTGTTCAATATTTATTGCTCTGTACATATGTGACATGACCTTTGACTGAACTGCTGTGGGTAGGCTAGTAATTTCATCCGTTTGTACTTGATGCTTGCTTGGGACTAGGTGTGGGAGAGGCTAGTCATATTGTCACATGCTTGGGTTGGTGATACACTGGCACTTTTCAACCAACACAATCAGGTAATACTACTCCATGAAGCAGAACAAACTTACAAAGTTTTGTTTCAAAAAATGACTCGTGAGGTTTCTTGCCATTTTGAATAAATTTTGATAATTTGAAGCAGATTGTTTATTGTCAAATAAAAGAAATTATGGGACACAAAACAACAATGCCTCATGGGGTTACAACTTTCTTGTTTTGATTCAATTTTGATAATTTGAAAAAATTATTTGATTATTGTGTCAAATTGAACAAATTCTGATAAAGTAAGATTCCATTGTTTGACAAGGAATGCCTGACCAGTCCTTCCCATACTGAAATCTTTGAGTCGTCTGACATGAAGTGGAGCTGTTTATGATGAGTGATTTATATGAGAGTTTGAATAATTAAATGAGTATAAATGACAGGACTTGATGAATATGCATGGCAGTGTATGTACTTAGCAGTCACCTCCCTTTCATGACTTTAATAACGGCAGTAACATGTTTAGTTTAGTTATACTTACTCAATATGTATGACAAATTCCAACACTAGTCAGGTGATTACATGGTGATTATTAATCTCACGACCAATACCAAAGTTTTCAACTTGCTAATGAACATATCTAATACAAAGATCCTGTGCTATATTAATAATTAGTATTTAAGCAGTATTCTAGTGGAATGGATGGTATAATTTTTAATTTAATTATTTAACTAAATTATTTAACTATTTTAATCTACTTAGGAGAGAAAAAATGTCATGTAACAGTGTTCATATTGTCATGGTGGAAATATGTATACATTAATGTGTTCAGTGATCGGTTATAGCCCTCCTTTTTGGAATAGGTTCCTGCTTCGAGAAACTCGTCTTTGTAAACACTGGTTGAACTGCCAAGATACCTGTCTAAGAAGCTAAAAATCCTGATCTCTTGGATTTCGAATCCGAGTGGATTGATATGTATAACATGTTTGAGCAAACCTGTTTTTATTGTAACACCATCTCCAACTGTTTACAGTTGGTGAATGTTGAACTATTTATTCAAAATGTGCTGCTAATTTATTCACTGTCTCAAAATGTTGCATATGATTGCATTTAAGTGCTGTACTAACTACCAAACTATTGCCTATTGGTATATACAGATGTTCTTGTATTCAAGGCTGCTAGCTAGTTGAACAAAATTGATTATACATGAGTTATTAAATGGTGGTCCATTTTGCAAGTTGCAGGTCCATATAGCATGTTTATTAACACCTACTGTTCTGTCTGTTGGTCTTTACTCCCTCCTGTTGCTATGGAGACTTATTAATGACAATTGTTTGTTATTCTAGATGGTTTTAACTGAGAATGATTCAGTCATTAATGACAGTTCTCACAAGACGTGCTACATTCTGTAACTGTGTTTTTAATTTAATGGTCTGATAACCAGATTCCTTATCTACAGTGTGACAGGACAACAATAATTTAATAAGAATAGGCCAGACCGATTCAGTGGTTGTACAGATACTCTTCCTCCCCTGTTAAACAGCGTTAGGAATTGTCACTAGTCCTGTAGTCCTTCCCAAACTGCCCAATAGTTAAGGTATCCTGAAGACAAGTAGAAATTGGCCCATTTTAAGGGTTTTGCTATATATAAGGACTAGTGGACAAAAACTATTAGTTTCTAACCCTGTTAAAACTATTGTCGTGTTCAGAATCCTTACAGTTGGAGTGGGACAGCTAGGAGTACTTTCTTCTGCTGCTGCCAGTGCAGACATCTATCTCCTGGTGGAAAAAAAACGGGGAAAGGCTGTGTAGTATACATTGTATATTTAGTGAGGGGGTCTTAATGTATTTGGAGGATACAAATCTGTAAAACAAGTAATTAAATTGGTCTGGCCTTAAAGAAAGGAAAACATTTTTTTAAGAATACAACTGTTCTACTGACTTCTTCTATGAAACAAAGGCATTCATCAATAGCTACCACTGGTACTTGTGGCATTGTTTTGTAGGCCATGTGGCAGAGGTTGATCATTTGCTGCAATACAGAACAAGGGTAATTGTATCAACTCTATTTAAGGGGCATTCAGAATTTGGTGGTCATGTAAGAATACCAGAAAACAAATTATTTTTTCCCCATCTGCATCCAACAAACTATTTCTTTGCTGAATACCATCAAACAATCTGTCAACACCAAAATGTTGACCTTTGGGTATTTTCCCCAATACAAGCAATTCATTGTTATTACCACTGCCAACAAAGTATTCATTTTGGGCACATCTCTATTCCTCATGAGAAACTTTCGTGCAGGTAGTCCTACTTTGCATTTTGTGTTTTTATGAAGTATTTGCAAAGAATATCAATTTAGCAAATAAATAAGTTACAAAGTTGAGTTACACTGGTCCAAGGCTTACAAAAATTATACTTGTATAAAGCATCTTTACACATAGAAGGAAAATAAACATGTTACTTTTATCAACATGTCATTGTCGCTTCACATCTTTAACTGCATTAAATGTTGACAATACCTAATGTTAACTTAAGGAAAAAGCATGTCGGCGTAAGAAATTGGCACTAGTCCTGTAGTCCTTGTCAAACTGCCCAATAGTTGAGGTATCCTGAAGACAGGTGGAAATTTGCCTGTTTCAAAGGTTTTACTATGTGTTATGATTACCGGTATAAGGACCATGGACTAAAACTGTTAGTTTCTATCCTGCATGTACAGGTTAAGTGTTACTTACATTGCAAACAACAGCTCGGAGACTTTTGGAAAAATATGTCACGTTTCATTCAGGGGTCCGGAAAATTTAAAATCCCAATCGGACATTTGCATTTAGGCCACGCCCCCTTCAAATAGCGTATTTTAGTACGACTTTTCACACACATTACAAGTTTACGTATTCATAATATGATGAATTATGAATTGTTTCAATTTAAATTGTTTAATTCACCAGACAATTAACAACAGCTCGGAGACTTTTGGAAAAATATGTCACGTTTTATTGCACTTTGTGACAGTATATATTTTTAATTGTTTCGAGTTTGCGAGCTGCAGTAGCAAATGTTAAGTGACTAAATTGCTGTTGACAAATCAAGGTGTTCAGGTTGATCCTAGACAATTTTCAATGCTCTGAATCCACTGCCTGTGTGTAGTCACCAAGTTAGCTGTGAGTGAGTGAGGTTTTCATTACGTTGACACAATTGCATAGCTGTTTATCTCTCCATTATTTTGTACCAACACCATAACACGAACTGCAGGATGACTTGTTTCCTGTCGTCAGTACTCCACAGGGTTGTAGAAGTGATTGTCTGGAGCAAAATGGCTTAAGGACAATTTCATGATTTTAACAACGTTCTTCTGTCATTACCAAATCTGAAAATAATCTTCAGGACATTTAGGATCATCTCCTGGACCATGAACAGAAATCCTGTTTTTCACTGTTCCTCAATGATGTGACAGTGTAGTATGGACGAGGACAGAGTCTGTTTTGAAAAGACTGAGGACTTTTTCTTCTTGCTCCAGGCATGCCAACCATACACACCAGTCTCCCTCCTATGGGCTGTCAATGTTGAGTCCTGTAGTTCGAGAAATGCAGAGCATACGTGGGCTACCAAAGGCAGACAGAACATAGCCAGATGAACTGTTGCAAGCAGTAGTCCAGCCACAATCGGGTGATAATGATTGTTTTAGATGTTGACAGCTATGCAATTGTGGATCTATAAGTGCACTTTATATATGAACAGGAATAAAGGGTATTGTTAAAATTATTGTTGTCTTGTGTTGGAGTTTTGATAATAGTTATTGCTGACTACAAGGCTGAATTGCTCGGTGGCCAGATGCAGTATTGCCCAACCTGAGGATTCCGGGATAGATGCACTAGAATAGGTCCTCTGAGTGTGAGGTGGGGATTAGAATAGACCCCAAGCAGACCTATGCTGTCATAAGAGGTGACTAAATGGAACGGTGGTCAGTAGTGGTGTAATGATACAGCTGTTTAGTAATGCACCCCGATACGAGGCCCAATACTTAGACCCGTGAAGATCTGGGGTTGAATAGGTCTTCAGCAACCCATGCTTGTAAAAGGCGACTATGCTTTTAAGAGACGACTAACAGGATCGGGTGGTCAGGCTCGCTGACTTGCTTGATGCATGTCGTCGTATCCCAATTGCGTGGATCGATGCTCATGGTGTCAATCACTGGATTGTTTGGTCCAGACTCGATTATTTACAGACCGCCTTCATATAGCTGGAGAACCAACCATCCAGTCCAATACTTACAATAACCACTGATAACAACTCCTGTATCGTGGTTATAGGGTACGTTGCATTACTGTTCGATCCTCGGTTGAATCATACCAAATGATGCGAACAAATTAAGGGGCTAAAAACAAGGACATTGGCTGGGAGTCCGTATCCTGTGTCTGAGACAGTGGGCTGGAACTATAAAATCGGCATCAGTCCGGATTAGTGCACGCACACGCACACGCACACGCACACGCACACACAAGCACGACGCTATAAGTGCAATATTCTTAAATGCGACATTAAAAGCCCATTTCACCTCACCTGGCCTCCGCAGTCAATTGTTATGCTATTACATTGTTATGCTATTACGTCATAGTGGTCTGCAAACAATCCAGGCAAACTATAGTGACTTCAAACACGAACAACGACCCATGCACCTCATGACATGCAATCATTCAAAATACATGGCACAATCCCATTAATATAGCCCAGGCCCCGTTCCACGAAGCGATCTTAGCGAACTCCCATTCCTTAACACTGACTTACGACAGTCGTAACACTATGATCACTTTGTTGAGCGGGTCCCAGTCCCACGGAGCGACACAGCTCATATGTTAACGTTTTTCAACAAGCCGTCTGTCAACAAAACTACGTGGGTTTTTTCTAAATTTGGGAACAAGGAAATGAAAAGATGTCGAAAGGAATACCCTCAAATAACATATTCCTCGAATTCACTATTCTCTTCTTTCCGTTCTTTAATTCCCAACATAGTTTATAAAAGACTGACCTTTCCAATTAATATTTGGGACCAGTCATTTATTACGGGAGGGGGCCGAGGATTTTCATGCACCATTGTACTGAAAATAACGACCCTCCCCTATAATAATGCGTGTGCGTTATTTTCCTGACCCTCCTCTAAAAGACAAACCGTATAAGCATGTTATAATTAATTATTAAATGTCCACTTAATCATGACCCTCAACAAATATTTGTATTATTTTTTTTATGACACTCCCCTAGAGACTGTCATATGTTTTGGTGACCCTCCCCTAGAGACTGTCATGTGTTTTGGTGACCCTCCCCTAGAGACTGTCATGTGTTTTTGTGACCCTCTCCTGGAGACTGTCATATGTTTTGGTGACCCTCCCCTAGAGACTGTCATGTGTTTTTGTGACCCTCTCCTGGAGACTGTCATATGTTTTGGTGACCCTCTCCTGGAGACTGTCATATGTTTTGGTGACCCTCTCCTGGAGACTGTCATATGTTTTGGTGAACCTCTCCTGGAGACTGTCATATGTTTTGGTGACCCTCTCCTGGAGACTGTCATGTGTTTTGGTGACCCTCTCCTGGAGACTGTCATATGTTTTGGTGACCCTCTCCTGGAGACTGTCATATGTTTTGGTGACCCTCTCCTGGAGACTGTCATATGTTTTGGTGACCCTCTCCTGGAGACTGTCATATGTTTTGGTGACCCTCTCCTGGAGACTGTCATGTATTTTGGTGACCCTCTCCTGGAGACTGTCATATGTTTTGGTGACCCTCTCCTGGAGACTGTCATATGTTTTGGTGACCCTCTCCTGGAGACTGTCATATGTTTTGGTGACCCTCTCCTGGAGACTGTCATATGTTTTGGTGACCCTCTCCTGGAGACTGTCATATGTTTTGGTGAACCTCTCCTGGAGACTGTCATATGTTTTGGTGACCCTCTCCTGGAGACTGTCATATGTTTTGGTGACCCTCTCCTGGAGACTGTCATATGTTTTGGTGACCCTCTCCTGGACACTGTCATATGTTTTGGTGACCCTCTCCTGGAGACTGTCATATGTTTTGGTGACCCTCTCCTGGAGACTGTCATATGTTTTGGTGACCCTCTCCTGGAGACTGTCATATGTTTTGGTGAACCTCTCCTGGAGACTGTCATATGTTTTGGTGACCCTCTCCTGGAGACTGTCATGTGTTTTGGTGACCCTCTCCTGGAGACTGTCATATGTTTTGGTGACCCTCTCCTGGAGACTGTCATGTATTTTGGTGACCCTCTCCTGGAGACTGTCATATGTTTTGGTGACCCTCTCCTGGAGACTGTCATATGTTTTGGTGACCCTCTCCTGGAGACTGTCATATGTTTTGGTGACCCTCTCCTGGAGACTGTCATATGTTTTGGTGAACCTCTCCTGGAGACTGTCATATGTTTTGGTGACCCTCTCCTGGAGACTGTCATGTGTTTTGGTGACCCTCTCCTGGAGACTGTCATATGTTTTGGTGACCCTCTCCTGGAGACTGTCATGTATTTTGGTGACCCTCTCCTGGAGACTGTCATATGTTTTGGTGACCCTCTCCTGGAGACTGTCATATGTTTTGGTGACCCTCTCCTGGAGACTGTCATATGTTTTGGTGAACCTCTCCTGGAGACTGTCATATGTTTTGGTGACCCTCTCCTGGAGACTGTCATATGTTTTGGTGACCCTCTCCTGGAGACTGTCATATGTTTTGGTGAACCTCTCCTGGAGACTGTCATATGTTTTGGTGACCCTCTCCTGGAGACTGTCATGTGTTTTGGTGACCCTCTCCTGGAGACTGTCATATGTTTTGGTGACCCTCTCCTGGAGACTGTCATGTATTTTGGTGACCCTCTCCTGGAGACTGTCATATGTTTTGGTGACCCTCTCCTGGAGACTGTCATTTGTTTTGGTGACCCTCTCCTGGAGACTGTCATATGTTTTGGTGACCCTCTCCTGGAGACTGTCATATGTTTTGGTGAACCTCTCCTGGAGACTGTCATATGTTTTGGTGACCCTCTCCTGGAGACTGTCATATGATTTGGTGACCCTCTCCTGGAGACTGTCATATGTTTTGGTGACCCTCTCCTGGACACTGTCATATGTTTTGGTGACCCTCTCCTGGAGACTGTCATATGTTTTGGTGACCCTCTCCTGGAGACTGTCATGTGTTTTGGTGACCCTCTCCTGGAGACTGTCATGTGTTTTTGTGACATTCCTCTGTTCTTCCCTCACCCACTCGCCTCTATTAAAAGTGACTGGTGCCTTACGGTTGGTTGGTTGGTTGTTGAGGCGCCGCGATTTGCTGTGAAGAGTTGCGTTCCTAAGACAAACCAGAAACCTATAATTGCAGGTTCCAATCCTGTTTGGCCCTGATTACGTTTCTGGGTATATCAGGTCCATACCCGTGCTCTTGGGGTTCGCCAAACTGGTAAACGCGTAAGACCTGCATCACCTCGGCAAAACCAATGAACCCAACCGCCTGTTCTGCTTGATTTGTCGCCCACAGCCTATATTACTGGTGCCGTATTATTGGCTTCATCCCATCTCGAGGGGGCACGGGTGGCCCAGTCGCCTAAGGCCCCGCGATTCGCTGTGCATAGTTGCGTCCTTTGGGCACGCCAAAAACCTATGATTGTGGGTTCGAATCCCGGTTCGCCCCGATTATGTTTCTAGGTTTGTCAGCACCATACCCGTGCTCGTGGGTTTCACCGAAGTGGTAAACGTCTGAGACCTGCATCACTTGGGGCTTTCCTCCCACATTAAGCTGACACCCCGCGATATAACTGGAATACTGTTAAAAGCGGCGTTAAACCAAACTCACTCACTCACTCCTTCTCTTCAACTAAAACCGAACTGACACTAGGTTGCGCACGTACACGCAAACTCACGCACGTGCGCAGACAAGCACCACTTGTTATATCGCCACGCTCGGATTAAAATGATCAGGTTTGTCATTAAAGATCTCCCAAGCATACCTTTGAGAAAGTTTAGTAAGGGTAGTTTGTCAACTATTTTTCACATCACTATGGCAACCACACAGCGAGTTGGAGTGCGTCACGTCACAGCGAGGTAGACAGCAAGTGTTGCATACTTTGCACCGGTATTGCCTGACCGTTAACCCTCATATGGTGCCTGGCCGTCAGCTGGCTTTGCATACCGCTAAGTGCCGCTTTGTGATGACGTCGCGGTTTCAAAAACGTACATATTGTGTAAAAAGTGTTAGAGTGAGTGAGTGAATTGGGTTTGCGCCGCTTTTAACAGTATTCCAGTTATATCGCGGCGTGTCAGCTTGTGGGCGGAAAGCCCGAAGTGATGCAGGTCTCAGACGTTTACCACTTCGGTGAAACCCGCGAGCACGGGTATGGTGCTGACAAACCTAGAAACATAATCGGCTTCTGGTGTGCCCAAGGGACGCAACTCTGTACAGAGAATCGCGGCGCCTTAGACGACTGGGCCAGACCATGCCCCAAAAAAGTGTTAGAACATTCTTATTGCTTCACACAGAGTATAGTAACCAAATTCTAACTTCCTGCTTGGGGCACGGGTGGCCCAGTCGTCTAAGGCGCCGCGATTCGCTGTGCAGAGTTGCGTCCCTTGGGCACGCCAGAAGCCTATGATTGTGAGTTCGAATCCCGGTTCGCCCCGATTGGGCACACCAGAAACCTATGATTGTGGGTTCGAATCCCGGTTCGCCCCGATTATGTTTCTAGGTTTGTCAGCACCATACCCGTGCTCGTGGGTTTCACCGAAGTGGTAAACGTCTGAGACCTGCGTCACTTCGGGCTTCCCCCCACATTAATCTGACACGCCGTGATATGACTGGAATACTGTTAAAAGCGGCGTTACACCAACTCACTGACTAACTTCCTGCCTATAAATATACACCTTAATATTAACGGTAATGGCTATCTTTCCATATCTTAGATTTGAATATTTTCGTTCAATCAGCATCATAAACAGATTAACGACAATCTATCGCTTCGTCTCCAGCGCCGTGCTAAATCGCCATGACTCAGTCTATACAAATATGCAGTACTTGAACAAAAACAATAATCTTCCGTTGCGGACTAAACATATAGCGAGCAAAGGTAAAGCTTTCTGACCAGTCTGATGAGACTGATTTCTTTTTTCAAATTGGCTGTCTGACACTAAAATAATTACGTGTATGTGACATGGGTGCACAATCAAAATTCGCCGTCATTCGTTTGAAGTTCAAACATGGCAGAGAAAGGTCGAGAAGCGCGGTAACCATGCGCTTTACTAATCTCGCCATATTTCGCATTCCGTAGCTCTGAAAAAATATGAGTTAACCCCCCCTGGATGCCCAAGGGACATATGTCCCTCCTCTTTCCATCCTCACCTTGAAGTCGAATAAAATTCAACATACATCACGCACTCAAAGACACTTCACAGGTTTGATTTCTCTGGGAAATTTCCCTGTTCTGTGATATCACCCACTGTCATTTTAGGCAAAGCAAAATTACTGAAAATAACCTCTGAAAATTAGGTACATCGTAAATGTCGCCATTTTTTACACATTACTTCATCACCATTCACGGCGTTATTTTCAGCACGTTTTTAAATCTAAATTTCGGATATTTACTCGGAGAGATGAATTTCAAAAATAGCATGTTATTGATCACGGGTATCTGTCCTTTATCAAATCAGCACTGATCATTCCAGAACGTCGCCGATTAACCTAGAATCGTTTCGAATGTTTTCGAAAATACGCAAAGCGGATATTATATTTACGACAAACAACCGCTGGCTATAATTATTGCATTGTAATTATTTTCCCCTACTAATTACAATGTTTGGACGTCAGCGCAAGACATATTTTGCTTCTTTTTAAAATATTTAATGAAAGAACTTCAAATAGATCTAGAATGTGCGAAAAAGGTCACCAAGATATGCGCTACTTGGTACTAAAACCGTCAAAGTTCATCTGTGTTATCCTGTAATTTGTAAGATATGTGACTTACCATGGTTACGACTCGAATAAAACAATTGAACAATAGTAATTAATTAATAAGGAACTGTGGGCATGATTAAATTACTAATTACAGGTTCTTCATTGTAAGATCCAATCGGATTTACACCAATCGGTTGTTAGGGTGTGGATAATTAATTTATTGTTTTCTTCGGGTCACGTGTTGAAGGTATGGAAATAGGTTCGAACACGTTTTGTGAATTTGTAAGAATTGTATATACATGATTGGACTCGACGACTGACGATAAGTTACGTCCCTTCCGAGTTAGTTTGGTAGAGGGCGCTATTTCACACACCGGCAGCATGGCGGCGGTAAGCATTTTTGTTCCAGAAGTTTCGTTTTAGATTTATTTCATATTAATTGTAATACTACATACAGCTATTCGACAATGATTGTATACTAGGTGTGCTATGTCAGCTTGGCATTATAGAGTTGTCCTTTTCTTGTTTTGCGGTAGAAATTGTGGATAGTTGCCATGGACTCACTGAATGGTTATCTTTGTTGTCCAGTTTTCGAGCACATTCCGCACATTGATTCAAAGAGCATTTGGCTATCTTTAGGATGTACGATTACTCAAGTTTATTCAATAAAATTTTTTATCATGATTATAATTTATACCTGAAGTGTTTTCATCATTAACTCCCAATGACAGCATCATTTAATTTCCATATAAATAACAACAATAAAACATGTTGATGTCAGATCAACAATTTACATCATGTACATGTTATTTCCAGACAACAGTAGAAAAAGTTCAAGAAGTTAGAGAAGTGACAAGGATTGAAAGAATTGGTAAGCTTTTTCTTTCACACAAACATGTTGAAGAATACTGGGATAATGTCATTGCCATTGTTAGCTAAAACCATGATATACTGTGATATATTTCAACTCCTCGTAAACTTTAACGAGTGGATCACTTGTATTTACTGTTATATGTATCTATGTGAATATTTTTGTGAGGTGAGACTCAAATAAACAATCGGTCTGTCTACAAAACTGGGGAGTTCAGGGACCCCCCCATTATTTATTACAAGGGTCATTACAGGAAATATGAAGTCTTGTAAAGTACTAAACTGATGTGGTGTACTGTACTGTTGAGATTTGATAAACCCCTTAATTACAGGGTCTTTATGTGTTTATATTTCATGTCAAGAATTTGTTACAATGAACATTACTTTGCATGCTAAGGGACGCACTAAATATTTTTAGGTGTCCATACTAATACATTTGTAGTGGACGCATGTTTCTGCGTCATGTAAAGCCCTGTAACACTGCCAGGTACACATGGTAAATTATATGACATATTGACCTCAGTTTATCCATCCAATCCGATTATTAGAGTTGTCATGATACGCCTCCCTCACGTATCAATACATGTCCCGATACTTGAGTCATGATACGAAATGTACCAGGATATTTCATCTGCTACGTTTTTGTTTGAGGTTGTTCATAATAAAATAATATGTGTTTACTTGCTTGACCATGTTTACTTGTTAATTTAGTTAATTAGAAGTGTCATTCGATCAGATTTAGCATGAACTTTCATAATAGGTGGTAAGGTAATAGTGTCGGGTTATTGAAATACTTTGTTAACATGATTAATATTACTTTTTGAAAATTGATAGAGAATTAAGATGTTAATTGATATATCATGTAAAGATCTGTAAAGACTTACATGTACGCAATCTGAAAAAGCTACGTTGGAGGTTGTTACACCGTTGGCTTATCTAATTTCTTCATGTGTATTTGTACGCATGCAACTCAGCATTAATTGAGTTATGGTGCTTTAGTTTGTATATTTTATGCGAATACAGAGCTTATCTGGAGCTCTGACCTGTTCTCACACATGATATTATGTACAACCATGACCTTTTAATCAGGCGCACACTCCCACATCCGAGGCTTGGGTCTTGATGATGCGTTGGAAGCAAGGAAGGTGTCGCAGGGGATGGTGGGGCAGGGGGATGCCCGGAGAGCAGCTGGGGTCATCTTGGAGATGATAAAGGTAATCTTTTGAATTATTGATATTAATATCAAATATTAGTTGTAGTTAACATGTTGCTTAGGCTTATATTGAATACGAGGGCACGGGTGACCCAGTTGTCTAAGGTGCCGAAATTCACTGTGCAGAGTTGCGTCCCTTGGGAATGCCAGAAACCTATGATTGTGGGTTCGAATCCCGATTTTGCCCAATTATATTTCTAGTTTTGTCAGCACCATACCCGTGCTCGTGGGTTTCACCGAAGTGGTAAACGTCTGAGACCTGCATCACTTCGAGCTTTTCTCCCACATTAAGCTGACACGCTGTGATATAACTGGAATAATGTTAAAAGCAGCGTTAAACCCAACTCACTCACTTACTCTTAGATTGAATGAGTAGGGCTGTGAACATCCTAGATTATCCAGTGTATTATATCTCCATATATATATACTGGACCCATTTTCCACCAACTCTCCAGCTGTCTTATCTGTAACATCACATAATTTCTTCCGATCATCAGCTTGAAATCAACAAATATTCAAAATATACATTCTGCAAAAACATTTGACGTACATCCACATTTTAAATCATGACCGCCAGCCTTTGATGTGTTTTATTAAGAAAGACTGTTTTAAATTAACTTTAAGCTGTAAAAGACGTTTTCATGAGTATTAAGACAATATTGCTAAAAGCAGCTTAAAACCGTACTCACTCACCATCATAATAGAACAGAGATATAATACTAATCGAGGATGAGGTTTAAGAAGTTGATTCATCATTGTGTAGACGTTTTGGGATTGTGTCACAACTTAATTTAAGCAGGGGAGCACAGGTTGCGCTTTTGTATGAAATGATGCAATTTGCTTTTCCTTACATGCACCAGGATCCGTTGATTGTTTGATCATGTGTATCGTTGCTTCCCTCCCACAGTAAGCAGTGTTCGACTGAAATACTTCTAAAGCTGGGTAAAATCTATCTTGCTCACATTATCTGAGAATGTCACCAGGAAACTGTTCCTGTCAGCAGTATGACTGTTGCTTTTGAACAGATGCTTCTGTAATGATTTATAGTTATGATTATATGATTATGACAAATGTCTGATTAACTTTGTTTGTTATGTTGACAGGAGGGAAAGATAGCTGGTCGTGCAGTGTTGATAGCTGGCCAGCCAGGTACAGGAAAG